AACATGCATGTTAGGCTGATTGGCAACTCTAAACTGTCCCTAGGTGTGAGTGAGAGAGTGAATGGTTGTTTGTCTCATTTTTCTGTATGTGGCCCTGTGATGGACTTGCGACCCGTCCAGGATGTACCCCACCCCTCGCACAGTGATTGACTGCGACCCGTCCAGGATGTACCCCACCCCTCGCACAGTGATTGCTGGACATGGGCACCAGCGACCCCTGTGACCCAAAATGGAATGAGCGGGTAAAGATTATGTGTGTGTGTGTGTGTGTGTGTGTGTGTGTGTGTGTGTGTGTGTAGCGACAAGGCCAACCAAAGTGCTTTACAGACAGGACAACAGATAACACACAAAGCAAAATACAAAATGAAGTAAATCAGAAATAGACATAAAAACGATGCAGATAATGACTAACTAGTGTGAAGCATACAGGTTCAAAACACAGATCATCTGGTGTTGAAAGCTACTGAATAGTAGTGGGTTTTTAAATGGTCTTGAAAAACGTGAGGGAGGGGGCCTGTCTGACAAGCAGAGGTAACTCATTCCAAAGTCTTGGTCCTGCTACAGAGAAGGCCCTGTTCCCTTTGCGCTTAAAACGAGTTCCTGGAACTGTGAGGAGCAACTGGTCGGCTGACCACAGGGAACGTGGTGGGACATACGGTTGTAGCAGATCAGAGAGATTGGGTGGGGGGGCGCGAAACTGTTCAGCGATTTGTAGACATACATACGTATTTTGAACTGGATTCGAAGGTGAACCGGTAACCAGTGCAGTGAGGCCAAAACTGGTGTAATGTGCTCTCTTTTGCCTGTACTGGTTAAAAATCGGGCTGCTGCATTCTGGACCAGTTGTAGTCGTGCAATGGAGGTCTGACTGATACCAAACAGGAGTGAATGGCAGTAATCAAGCCTAGATGTAATGAATGCATGTATTATTGTCTCCAGGTTATTTTTGGACAATATGGGCTTCAGTTTAGACAGCTGCCTCAGTTGGAAGAAACCTGATTTAATGAGACGCGCTGGTGAAGATTTTCAGTCATCCAGGACATGGTAAATTCAAAAACGTAAAAGTAAAATGCTTAAAGAAAGAAAACCACAAAATGGCAGCACTTACAAAATGTATTATGTACAGTACTGTACTTAAACTGCGAGAGAGCGAGTCCGTGAAAAACAAACCGTGAAGTAACGAGGGACTACTGTATTTTGTTAAATCACTGAAAGGTTTGTTGAGTCAAACGTGAAACAGAACAAGAGGACATAGATCACACAATCAGCCATTTTTATTGAAAATCTTTCTCCATCCGCCATCTTTGATTCATCGTCCCACAGAAGTCAGACTTATTGGCTCTCCTGGTGAAGACAATCTTTACACACTTCAAATTAACTGAGTAATCAACTTTTTATTCAGTGACAAAAACAAAAAAATGATTTTATTTCAGTGAAACTAATTGGCACTTTGTTGTCTTTTTGGCACAAATTCAGCACACTGTGATTCTTCATTTCTTTTTACTTTAGTTAATACACATCTGGTGGCAATTAACTTGAGTTTTGTTGAAATTAAAACAGAAATTAAATGAACCTAAGACAAAAAATTATAAAGAAAATCTTTAGCGTGGAAACAGAGAGTTGCTGCTTGCTTTCTTTCTTTAAATCATCCACACCAAAAGCCAAAAGTTACGGGGCCATACTGGAAACACACATCAGTGAAATGAGTGGATTTTCTTTTATTTGTGACGCACATCAAGCTGGAGAAGGTGATGAGCATCACTGTCGAGATGTTCAAGGCAGCAGAAAAAAGACGTCTCACTTAACGTCAGGGTGAAGTTTTAGGTCGAACAATTCCAACGATTTACGTTTTAATTCAGATCGGGTGTTATCGTCACAGAAAGTTCAGATTTGGCTGCCGCACAGTGCTAACCTCTTCCACCCTGAGGTGCTGAAAGGATGAAGGTGCTGTTGTTGATATCACGTCTGTCTGTCTGTGAGCGCCATGATGTTTACCTGTTGGTGTGAGGATGAAGGAGGACAGGGAGTTTTTATGCTGCACGTCTCAACATGTTAACGTCCAGAGTTCAGGCTGATCTCCAGCTGCAGCACATCATGACGGGGCACAGCCGAGGCAGACGGAGGCCTCCTGCTCTGTTTTGTTTGGCCACTCCGACTGCATCCCTGCAGCTCGGGGTTTTCTCTTTCTGCGGGCGACTTGTTTGACACGAGCAGTTAGGGATGCTTTGGCCTTTCTAGCTTCATTAAGGGCTCGGCGGTGTCTGAGTCACTGTGATGCTTCCTCTCTCGTGGAAGCTCGACTTTACTGCAGCGAGTCCACGACGGAGAACGCATGTAGCCACACCTGGGGAGCATCGGCTGGTGGGACCCTGTGGACCAGACACACAGGGATGAGTTGTACAAATAAATTCAAACGAGCTTTGTTCAAAGAAAATATAAATTCAAATGAAAAATATCACAGACAGGATTGAATGCAGATTTTATTTCTAAATCGTAACACTGATAATTTATTTTGACTCATAAAATGTGACAAAGACTGGCTCCGAACTTCTAAAGCTTTTTTTTCTTACAGCTGAGAATATAATTAAAGTTATTTTAAAGCAAAATGTGGATTTGTGTTATAATAAAGCAGAAATAGATACAGAGAAGATCAAGTGAGGTTTTTAGACACAACTTAAAACTTCCAAACTTTCTACTCAATGACAAAAAAATAAAATGTTAAAACCACAGATGAATTATTTATGACGTTAATTAAACGTGTCTAAACAAACTCTCTCTCTTTTTTTTTTTTTTTAGTAATTATGCATTAACTTCGAAAAGATCAAAATAACATTTTAATTTCATTTTATTTGCATGTGAATTTGGGCTACAAGGACCTTTTTTTAACACATTTCTTTTACATTTTGCATGTTTTGTCAAATATAGGCTCCTAAAATACTTTTAAAAGCCTTTTCATTAAATGATAGGAGTGATAAAGTCCAATTTAAAATGCGTCTAGAACTAAAATTTAACAAAACTACATGTTCCTAAATGTATACATGTGAATAAATTACAAACTAAACAAAAGAGAAAGAAAAGAAAAATAGGACACTTATTCTTAGAGAATGGAAAAAATAAAGCTATTTATATTTCAGGTTTATGAAAACAAAAGGTAAAATAATAAAGATGGAGATTTGATGACCACATGAAAACAAAGCACATTAAATGTAGGCAACAACTTGTGTTAAAATATGGGAGAGAATAAAAAAGTACAGATTTTACTGTCTTTTACTCTCAGAATCACTATAAACGTTCGTCTTTGTCCAGAAATGAGGCAAAGTTCTGTAAATCCCTTTTTAAAAGAGACTTTTAAACCACTAAACATATTTAAGAAATCATTTAAAATATATTAAGATTCCTCCTTCTTTTGCTGTTTTATTTATTGTTTCAAAAGAAGAAACATCTACAGGAACATGGAGCCTCCTCCTGATTGACTGGACATCTCATTGCTTTCAAGGATCTGAGGTTATTGCTGTTTTAATCCACTTGGTGGTGGTATTGAAACAAAGCTGCAGTGAATGACTGAAAGAAAAAAAGGAGCTGATTTTCACAGACCAGCCCAGTGTTTGGTCTCTACAGTAAATGCTCTTCTGAGTGGCTGGCTTTATAGAAATCTCCCCAAATCCAGACCAGATCCTGCCAAACGACCCAAACTGAGAGGCAATAAAAGAAAGAAAGGTGTTGAAACAAGACAAATATTAATGTCAGATTATTAAATATTTCTGAATGTTAATTAGATGGATTCATGGCTCCTCAGAACCAGGCAGGGCTCCATGATGACATGTGCCATGAACACCTGCCCATGTGTTTATTTGCTACATGCATCTATATTTAAATAACTGAGCGTTTAACAGCTGAGCATTTCTCATGTGTCTCCGTTCAAAACTCTCCCAGATTGAAATATTGATCAGAATAAACTTAGAAAGACACGTAAAACACAAACTCGGACTCTTCACTCCCTTCTGTTACAAGCGTTACATTTTCTGCCTTAAATTTACTTTTGTCCAGCAGTACTTTTTACTTTTCAGAGTGTAGTCTGAATAAAATAAAGGTACCACTTTACAATAAGGCTCCCCTTATAGATGGCTAATAAATAGTTTACAGATATCCAACATTTTTCAGTCAGGTCATCTGGACAGGTTCTTTTTTTGTTTGTTTGTGCTGAAACGTTTCACCTTTCATCCAGAAGGCTTCATCAGTCAAGGAAACACACAACACAAAACTGATTCTTCCCCCAACAGCTTACTCTAAAGTGGAACAAACCAGTTATGTTGATGCTAAGATGGTCTCTTTGGCACGCCCCCTCCTCCGTTGCCGGCCCTCTTCCTCATCGACAGTCATGTCAAACTAGTTCAAAACAACAAAGTCCATGCTCAATAATCCAGGTATACAATCCAACATTTTTCAGTCAGATCATCTGGACAGTTTCTTTCTTTTTTTTTTTTTGTGCTGAAACATTTCACCTTCCATCCGGAATGCTTTAGCACCAACATAACTGGTTTGTTCTACTTTGGAGTAAACTGTTGGGGGAAGAATCAGTTTTGTGCTGTGTGTTTTCTTGACTGATGAAGCCTTCTGGATGGAAGGTGAAAATTTTCAGCTCAAAAAAAAAAAAAAAGAAACTGTCAGATGACCTGACTGAAAAATGCTGGATTGTATACCTGGCTTATTGAGCATGGACTTTGTTAGTTTATAGATATGTTATTAAACACTTTATAAATCATTAATAACTACTTATTAAGTATTAATTCTGGTAAGGGTGAGAACGAGACAAAACTGACCAGTTTCTTGCCAAACAGTGAGCCATATCTGTTCACCTATATATTTCATCAAGAGTTGTTATAGTGAACATTTCACAAGTTACTACCTTGTAAGCACAATACGCATTTATAAACTTATTTTTTAGAATATAATATCAGTTGTAGATACTTATAACGCAGTGCTAAAGTACAGTATTATATGTTAAAGAAATAGGTTTACAAATGCTTATTGTGCTTACAAGGTAGTAACTTGGTCTGAAATGTTTAATATAGCAACTCTAGATGAAATGAACAGATTTGGCAAGAAACTGCAAAGTTTCGTCTCTCTCTTTCACCCTTAATCAGAGTCAGAGTTTCTTTATTGTCATTCGCACCTCATGTGGTACATGTGGTGGAACAAAATTATGTACACAGGGTCCCAGTTACATCCAACAATAAAATGTAAAAGAAAAACAGTAATAACATCTAAGATGTGAACTAAGAAAAACATCAACTAAATATACACTAAGCACTCATAACATAAAAACATCACGTTGAACATCAGCACAAACATGAACATGAGTCTGTGTGAGCAGATGAGCACACATGAACACATCAACATTGAAACAGATCAGCAGCAACATGAAACAGATCAGCAGCAACATGATGTGATTTTTCACAGAGATTATTCTGGTTAGAGATCCATGAGTCTAACAGCCTCAGGGTAGAAGCTGTTCCTCATCTAGTGGTTCTACACTTAATGCTCCTCAACCTCCTTCCTGAGGGGAGTGGGGCAAAATGTGTGTGTGCTGGATGAGTGGGGTCTTTTATGATGCAGGTGGCTCTCTTCCTGCATCTAGAGGTGTAGATGTCTGTGATGGTGGGGAGGCTGACTCCAACAGACTTCTGTGCAGCCTTCACCACTCTCTGCAAAGCTTTTCTTTCTGCAGCTGTGCAGCCTCCATGCCACACGTTGATGCTGGAGCACAGGATGCTCTCCACTGCACACCTGTAGAAGGAGGTGAGGACTGAGCTTCCCAGACCAGCTTGTCTCAGCCGTCTGAGGAAGTAGAGTCTCTGATGAGCTTTCTTGATCATACATAATAAGCACTTAATAATGATTTATAAATTGTTTATAGAGGATTAATTATCTATAAACTATTTATTAGCCGTCTATAAGGAGAGCCTTACTGTAAAGTGGTAACAAATACAGTTACTGAATCACTGGATCCAGCCTGTGAGGCGCAGGAGGAACGTGACTTAAAAATGTTGCTCTCAAATGAGGCTTATGCTTCTAAACATACAGCTGAGGCAAAACAAAAGATGTTGAACTGCTGCTTCACCTGCTCCTCACTTCTTGTCACATTTAGGAAAAAAAACCCCACATGAAACGACTACACGAAAGCTTATACACATCACTTCATGCACTCCACAGACTCACTAACACAAAGTATTTGTTCTGCTCATCCCGAGCTTGTGAAGCAGGACAAAGATTTACAAAGATAATGACGTTTGCAGTCATTAGGGCGGCTGTGGCTGAGTGGTTAGAGTCCTCCAATGCGAGAGTTGGGGGTTTGAATCCATCAGCAGTCACATGCTTGAGAAGTGTCCCTGGGCGATACACTGAACCCCTCATTGTCTCCAATGTGTGTATGAATGTGATAAAGCACTGATTATTCTATGTATGTATGAGGGGGTCAATGAGGCACAGATTGTAGTGTAAAGCGCTTTGAGTATCTTGATCAGACAGAAAGTTGTTATATAAGAACAGTCCATTTACCGTTAAAAGGCTGGAGCGGTCATGAAGGCAGCTGAATCAGAATTGGTCAAAGGAGAAGAAAACAATAAGGTGATGCACGTGTTGTAGGATGAAATGTAGCAGAAGACGTCACTTCACTACATCGTGCCACCAACAGCGGATAAGAAAAACATGTTTTCATCTTGCTGACTTAGGTGTGAACAAAATTTGTTTGCAAGAGCTTCTTCAGAGCAAATGGCAAAAGCAGAACTTCTTGTTGGACAGAGCAGAGTCCCAAATCATTCAATGTAACTCAGTCAACTGTGTGAAATAAAACAGGGAGAAAAGGTTCAGATCTTTTCTCTGTTTTTTTAATCTAAATCTAATATTTCTTCTTCCACAAAGCAATAACCAACTCTGAAGCAACTCCACCTCGAATGTCAACGAACAAACAACAACAAATTAATAAACCAGAAGCACAGCAGCGTACGGCCGGCTGTGTCCTCAGTTGCATCCCGGGTATTGTTGGAAAGACAAAGCGCTGCCTGTGGTGGGTTTTCAGGGGTGTGCGTAAACTTTACGGCTCATCAAGCTGAATAAGGGATTAAAACAAAGAACAAACCAGCTTTCTTTTGTTCAGGGTCTGTGGAACTGGCCTGAAAGGAAACCAAATGGGGGTTTATTCTTTGCTCCAGACTGAGCAAATGAGCATCAAAACACAAACAGATAACGTTAATATAAAATATGTTGATTTACTTAAAGACAGAAACTGGGAGATAAACTGGGCCAAACAAACTGGACACGTAAAAAGGAATTTCTTGCATTCTGATAGCGTTTTAAAAAGCTGGAAAGGGAACAGGCTTTGTTTCCAGAGGGGGAAATCAATTATTTAGGAGCCTGGGTTCATCTTGAACTCAGCCACCCGTCTTTAGCTCCTCGCCTCCTTTTAGCCGTCGCCTCAACCTCGACATGCACTCCCTGTTTCCGTTAGAGCTCACACATAGCAGCGTCGTGCTACCTGACCCACATTTACATAAACACAAAATAATATATGTTAACAGCAGCCTGAGTCAAACATTTGTTAAAGTTAATTATACAGTCTTTTATTCTATGCAGTTAGCTATATATGGGAGTTTGTGTAAAAAAAAAAAAAACAGCATCAAGATTTTCCCACAAACAAATAATTCACTGAGGTAAATTTATTAATCTTTGTCAAAATATTCTGTTTGATCATTTCCACTGTGACCAAACCTCTGCACTGCTGGCAACCTTTAGAAGAGTACCTCTTTAACCTTTCGTGTTCTTTCATTCAGTCGTGACATTGAGGTGCAGCAGCTTTTTGTCCACCCCGTAACATTTACACATGCAGTGGCCTGGTGCAAAAACTGCTGAGACGGCCATTTTCCTTTCTGAAAATCATAAAGGTTGAAGTGTGTGTGTGTGTGTGTGGGAGGGGTAGTCTTTAAAACAGCTCACTCTTAAAGGTTTATTTTTTTAAGGTGCTGCACCGGGTGTCACACTAAAAGGTAAAAACCCTCCAATACAAGGAGAAGGGCTGTTCTCGGATGGCACGCACATTTTTATTCAAGGGGAAAGTACAAATAAGTGTTCAGCTGCTCATTCTGAGGTTGTGTATGTTAATAATTAACAAGAAAAGCCAATTGCTTTCCTGAATGTGCGGTTAGTTGTTCAGAAACATTTAACATCTTAGTGAATCTGTGCTGTAGAAACCTGCTGAATGCAGGATGTAATGATAAACAGATCAGCTGAAGTTTAGCTGCTAAAGAAAAGCAGAAGATCATCAACAACAACAAAAACTAGAGAAATTGCATTTCCTGTAAAATGCAGTGTGAATGCTTATTGCTGAAAAATAGTTGAAATGTAGCTGAAATGGAAGAACAAGCCCAAGTTAGCAGAAAAAAGCAGAAAGAACACACATTTGCTGAATTGGGTTTAAATAAGGGCAGCACGGTGGCGCAACTGGTAGAGCTGCTGCCTCTCAGCGAGCAGGTCCTTGGTTCAAACCCCAGTCCAGGGGCCTTCTGGGTGGAGTTTGCATGTTCTCTCCGTGCATGCGTGGGTTTTCTCCGGGTACTCCGGTTTCCTCCCACAGTCCAAAAACATGCATGTTAGGCTGATTGGTAACTCTAATTGTCCCTAGGTGTGAATGAGAGAGTGAATGGTTGTTTGTCTCGTTTGTCTCTATGTGTCCCTGTGATGGACTTGCGACCCGTCCAGGGTGTCCCCCGCCCTTCGCACAGTGATTGCTGGACATGGGCACCAGCGACCCCCGTGACCCAAAATGGAATAAGCGGGTAAAGAAAATGGATGGATGGATGGGTTTAAATAAGCAGAAATGAGCGCAAAAAGTAGGAAATCAGCTAAAAAAAGCTGAATTTAGGGGGGAAAAAAAACCTAAAAAGTAGCTGAAAAGGAATAAAGAAGCTTAAATTACCAGAAGGAAGTGTGAGCACATTTTTGATGAATTAGGCTGAAAAAAGCTGATATAAGTGCAACAAATTTGGAATTAGTTGAAAAAGCTAAATTAGCATAAACCAGCTAAATAGCAGCTGAAATAGCAGAAAAAACTGAAAGTAGCATAACAAGCTGAAGCAAAAAGAAGTCAGAAGAAGCACAAAAATGTTGTAGTTAGCAGAAAGATTCAGAAAGGAGCAAAAAACAGCTGAAAAAGCAGCTGAAATCAGCGGAAAGTAGCTGAAAAAATTAATACATTTGCACTAGGAGGCTGAAAGAAGCTGAACCAGAACAAAATGTGAAAGGAGCAGTAAAAGGTTGTAAACAGATCGAAAGATATAAAGGATGTAAAATTAGCTCAATTTATTTTCTATGAGGAAAAAAGTGGCAGATAAGGCTAAATGTTTCAAAAAGCTAAAGTTGCACCAATATCAAAAGTCCCAGCAGGACTGTTCTGAAAGAGCAGTCTAGTTTATGAACTCTCCAGGAGCAATGTGAGATAGGTTGGCCTGTCCAAAGTCAGCGGGGAGGCCAAATTCAGATAAACAATTGTTTGGGCCGCCAGACTCTGATTTCTGTCTGCCTTCATCTTCTGCTGGTACACTCAATGGCAAATCCAAACAGCCAGAATTAGTGGACATTCCGCCCAGTCCGTGCTCGATTTAACATACACCAAGAGTGAATCCTTCATGCTGGCGACTTCCAGGAGCCGCAAGTGGCCTACGATTCCCAGAAATTGCGTCCAGCTGTGGTTGAGCTCGTTAAGCATATGAGTCTGAGAGCTCGAGGCACAAATTAATCCATCACATAAGGCTGGCAGCTTTACCCTGGCTGAAACTACTGCGATGTCGTCCTAATTTGTCAATATCCTAGATATCCGCCAATTTGAAAAAGCAGAAACCCTGTTATCATAAATCCAATAATGTACACATCTTCTACATCCTCCACGGACAGCTCAGATAGGCAGAACATCTTCCACTCATTCCAGGAATCAATGACATACCCAGCTGCATGGGTCCGTTCAGGGCATGAGGGCTCTCCAGCACCATGTTGTCTGGTGAAAAAAAAAATAATTGTGTTGAAGGACCAGCTGATAAAATCCATAATAGTTTTTGATTTGGAAGATGTGTAAAAGAGAGGCTCTGAGGTTGACTGGACAAGACAGCAAAAACGCAGGAGGGAGGGAGAGAGGATAAGAGCGACCGTTTTCGTCGAGAGCGAAAGAGAGACTTAGAATTTAGAATTTGTTTAGAGTTTAGCTCAACAAAAGTTTTCAGATTTGTGAATTTTAGCTCATTGTCCTCTATTTTCCTCAAGCAGTGTTATTTTCTGCAGCAACTAGATGTTCACCGTCCACCACCTATTCAGCACGAATCAGACAAAAACAAAGCAGAACGTGGAGCGAACAGCTGAGCAGCTAGTGCTGGAAGGTTTTTGGAGCATGAACTGAGCAGATCCTTGCATCCACAGGAATGATGAAACAAGGTGTAAATAATGAGAATAGCTCCAAAACTGCACATCGAAGCAAAAACATTTCATCTTATCAGCACCAGTAACTCAATTTAGTGACTGTGAAACAGAAGTATTACAAAAACACAAAGGCACTTGGAGCTGTATAATCTTTAATTGAACCGTAACTCAGACTTAACTCAGACTGTGTTGTGCTTTCATCAACTAACTGAAAGCAGAGAAAGAAGAGACGGATTCTGCTGAAGAGGAGTTGAAGAGGGACTGTGTTGTAGAATGGAAATAATGAAAAATGCTGTTTTTGTTTTGGGGGGGGGACTGTGACGTTGGCATTTTAACTTTATTTTCTGTGCAGAACAAAATCCTGCTAGTGTAAGTAAATACAAACAATCCAGAGCAATTATTTCTCCATAAATGTGATTTATATCTCTTGTTAGCCTGTTCACTGCTCTCAGCCACACGGGGCAATATTAAGTCACATCTGCAGATTTTTCTCTTTTTTTTTCCATTAGGAGAAAAATACATGCAGAACTTTTATACTGCTGTAAATCAATTACAGTAGCATTTTTCCCCCTTTAGCTTTTTACAAAGTACTTGACAAGTTTAGTCTCTTATTTGCATATTTTCTCAGTGACAGCAGAGCTGCCGTGCAAGCTGCTCGCCGACCTTCAAGAGCAAGTGGAAGGACACTTGGGCAGATAAATGCAAATGAATCATAAGACGACCATCTGAACTCAAGCTGCCTCCTATCATAGAACAAGGAGGGTCGAGTGTTGAGCTAATGTCAAATGCAGCATCGCGCTTTTCTTATACCTTCAAAGTAAAGAAAAGAGGTTGTTTTTCAAAGAGAGACTGATTTTTAGAGATCACGAGTAAAACGTCAACAGTATGAATAAGAAAAGGCTCAAAATGTTTCCAGCCCTTTGTAATACAAGTGTCAAGTGTAACAACAGTCTGACCACAAATACTTCCCTGTTAGTTAAAAAGCATCACCAATCAATCACATTCGTATGTTTTGCTATATAGAAGCATACAAGTGAAGTGTTCAGATGACCTTTTTGATTATTACAACTCAGCAGGCGTCCCTGGGATCCTGCTGGAACATAATGACATTAAAACCCCATAACACACACACACACACAAACACACACGGACACGTTATGTTGCTTAAGGATGCTGTATCCCTACGCTGACTTTAAATAAAACACAAACCCACAGTTTCTTTTTTCATTTTATTACTTTTGGAAATGCTTCCCTCAGCAGTCAGATCAGTGCTGAAGCTGCAAAGAAGTTTAAAAGTGATCACACTAATAATAAAGTTGTTCATAACAATTGCTTGGGCATAAGCACTTTGGTTGGCCTTGTTGCTGTTTTAAGTGCTATATAAATAAATTGGTATGGTATGGTATAAATTAAAACATGTAGGTGATAAAATAACAGAAGCCACAGTCTATAGATTCACTGTGGATTAGAGGAATCTTTAAAAATGACACGTGTACACACTGTTTGCTCTTTTTTTAATTAAATGTACATGTTATTTTTACAACAGAAGATAATCTCTGTTATTTATTCCATGATCTTTGTTGCTTACTGTAACAGACATTTTATTTAGGAGGTGTCTTACCTGCTGGGGACTGATTGTGGTTTTCCTCGTCAGAGTCAGGGAAGACTTCAGCCAGTTCCTGGTCAGACATGTCAGTCAGCTCAGTCAGATCCAAGAGGTCAAAGTGCACCTCCAGAGACGACACACTGCTCAGCGGTTCTGTCAGAAACAAAACAGCACGTTTGAGTGCCAAAAAATAAAAATGGATTTATTGCTGATGCTAGTGCTCAAAGTCTCATTAAAAAAGAGAAAAAGATCGTTAACAGCTAATGCAGTTTGCTCTTCAATCTCTGTTGTAATTAGTTGTAGTTTTTTTTTTTTTTTTTGCAGCGTTTAAAATCAAAGTAAACTTACTCTTTTATTTATTCCACTTTGTATCAGCGCACCCAGTGACCGAAGAACGAAGACAAAGATGGAGCGGAATATTATCACTCCTTTAACATGCATTGATCTAATTAATTTGTCTCCTGTCTTGGCTGTAACTGCTCATTTGAACACAGGCTTTCTCCTCAGCATGCAAAACTCTGCTGCTGCTGCAGACATGCAGCGTGCACGAATGTGCATGACTCAGCATTCCAACAAAGCCCCTTGAGAAGATGGAGTTTTTATGCATTGAATCTATATTAAAATTCTATCAAAGACTATAAACTTCAAACGTGTTTGCTTTCATCAGCGAAGGACTTTTATGTAAAAGATGGACCAATAGCAAGGAAAGCAACTGGAGATGTGATCAAGGTGTGGTAGTGGTACAGCCTCTTTTTAAAGCAACTCACCAGCAGAAGAGACTAAACCTCAGTCTTGTGCTGCTCTTTTGTCTGCTGCACTTAAATCCCCATGTTCCCCACCAAACAGACCAAATATTGATTTACAGACGACAATTCATCATGCTGAGACAGCAGAGAGTCAATGTGCCATGTGTCAAATACATCAAGGATGCTCAGCACTGGGTGTGCTGGGAGATATGGAATAAAAACAGGGGTGCAATAACAGAAGAGTGACAAAAAAGTAACAATATTAAGACATTACATTTCATTAGAAGCTTAACTAAAAAAGTACAACTTTCAGTAGTTGGAAGCAACAAAGACTCGTTTTAAAGAAGAATCATTTCAGATGACTCGTAAATATATTCTTCATGTTCTGCAGACTGAGAGGAGCTTGTTCACAATTCAGTTCTCGCTGAGCATATTTTTGGGAGGTAAGAGGAAACTAGAGGCAAAGACGAGAAGGAAATTGTGGGGGAGGAGATGAAAGAAAAGCAGAAGAGGGAAGATGATAAGAAATGAAGGCGAGCTGACGCTTCATGTGAGAAGCTGAATGCTAAATACAGAAGAGGAAAAACAACAACTACACGACAACATCCAATTATAAAATATAAATGAGATCAGTTTCCTGCCATTATTTTTAATTAGCTGCATTATTCCCACTCCCCTACGCTTCATGTTTATCCATGTCTCCGTTTTATTCTTTGCCTCCTCCATGTTCTCACTTTTTAAATTATTGATCAGAGCATTTTCAGTCAGAGGCAGCGGCGCTAAAACAACTGCTTCATCCTAAAAAAATATATATTAATATATATATATATATATATATATATATATAAACCCAACAAAGACTCACTGAAAAGTCATCGAGAAAGACTCCTTTAAATCAAGCTGCGGAAAAAAAATTGGTGCCTGAAACTAAAGTTAAATAACGACTACCTCGGCTTTTTACAGCAAGCGAACTCAAAGCAACACATTTCTGCTCGTTAACGATAAAGATGGAAGTTAAAATAGGAAAGGATTAAGAGCAGGTTTCATTTGGAGGAAAAAACAAGGAAAGCAGAAGAGATATGATTTCTATGTTGGATATGTGCAATCTCCATCGCTCTTAGATGTGCCTGATGTCAAGTGACCACTACGGTGGCCCTGAGGTGTAAATGAACATTTGAAAAAAAAAACTGAATTACATTAAGGCAAAGTGAAAGTGGATGGAATCACATTTGAAAAAAAAAAAAAAATCAGAATTACATTAGGCCAAACCGGAAGTGTTCTTTTTTTTCCAGTTAATAAAAAAAAAAAAACATTTATCAACAACATAAAACAGAACAATGTACAGTACACACACAATGGAGGTACAGTTAGCAGGCTAGACTTTAGCCTGTAGAAATGGAGAGCTATGTTTTGTTCAAGTTTAAAGAAGATATGACGCTGAAAAATCTCAGCAGGATCTTCAAGGTAATTAAGTTTTGTTGACATACATTTTAGTTTTACATTTTAGTTTTACTGGCACGGCATAATACCTAGCCTGCCAACTGTAACTCTGTTGTGTGTGCACTGTACATTGTTCTGTAGTTTTGTTTTTTGTTGTTAATAAAGTTTAAAAGAACACACACACTCACACACACAAAACAAACAAAACAAAACAAAACAAAAAATAAAAAAAACACCACTTTTGGTTTGGCTTATTGTAATTCCGTTTTTTCAAATGTAATTCTGTTTTTTTTTTGTTTTTTTAAAATGAGTTTCCGGCCACTTCCGCTTTGGCCACTTCTGCTTTGTTTGAATGTAATTATGTTTTTTCAAATGTTGTGTTTTTGTTGCGTTTTTTTGAAATGTGATTCCGTTTTTTAAAATGTTGTTCATCTACACCTCAGGGTCACCTGGGGACACCTTTCAGAAGATCACACAACTATATTCTCTTAGAGGATTTAAGCAGGTTAAACAGGAAGCAGCTGATTACTCAAAGTAACATGAAAGTCTTAGTGAAGCAGGATTTACTCTCTTTTATTGAGTCTGTTAATAATGTTTTGTGTAATAGTGTTTGTTTAAAATTTTGCTATTGACTATTTAGAATCAACTTTGTCTCTTTGTTAGCAAACTATCTCATTACCTACTGGGTGGATTTTAATGAAAATTCCCAGAAATAATCATTAGATGTACATGAACAGCACACTAGCATTTGGAATCAACCCAAATCAAGATGATTGTCACAGCAAATCAACAATAGTCAACATAAAATGCTTATAACTCAAGTCAATTGAGCTAAGATTGGAAGTGGCAGTAGCTGAGAGTATTTCACAGCACGTACTCTGAGTGTCATATGTAATATTATATGAATTGTAACAATTTTTTCAAGGTTTAGCCAAAGCTTTTTTCTTTTTGTAATATCATAGTCACTATATAGTGTGGTATGAGGTAAACATGCAGCTGTGGTAATGGTGTTTATTATCCCGATGCACGCTCAATGATCCAGGTAGAAAAATCTAAAACAGGTAAGTCAGATCCTCTGGATGGATTCTTCTTATTGAAATCTTCTTACAATGCTTTTATTGCAAGTATTACTCAGCCCTCTGTGAATAGCAAGCGGCCATCAGGGCACTAATGTTCAGTTGTTAGGCTGATGGTCCTCCTTCATCGTGTGAACAGCTAGTTCTGGATGTCAACAACAAACTGGTTGATCCACTATGAGAAGGTGCTATTTATAAGACTGAGTCTAGTGCAGCTCCTCGGACTGAAGAAGTCTTTTGGATAAAAGATTAAACATTTCAACAAGAAGAAACCGTCCAGAGGACCTGTCTTTACCTTTTTAGGTGTTGAATATGGTGATAATGACATCTGTGGTGATAAACTCACATATTCTGTCATCACAATGCTCACAGTAGACTCCATATGGGAACTGTATGATTTTAGAAGAGTGTGGTCCTTTTGAATATCACATTTTTATTTTTTGCTTGTGATTTGTGTTTTCCCTTTTTAAGCATTATTTGCACGATTAAATTAAATAAACATATTTGAAAGTTAAGCTATCAAATAATAAATATATCTTTCATATAATGTGCAGCTTTAGTATAGATGCCAGTTTTTCTGGATTCTGGTCCTTCACTCACCTGTTTTCAGACAATAATCTCCCTCTTCATATACCTGGTTTTCCTCAGTCTTTTGTCAGATCCTGTTAGTTCCCTGCAGAGCCTGGTCATGTCCTGCTCTGCCTTGTTTTTTTTATTTTAATTTGAAATTCAGCAGTCATGATTAAAGTTGCCATCATCCACCAGTCTGCTGCTGGCCTGTGTTTAGACTCAGTTCTGCTTTTGCACATTTATGACATTTAGTGGAAAAGGTGAGTCTTATGCAGTTTTAAAATTTAAAAAGTAGTTTTTTTTTAAGTTATTTTATTTTGCATCTTTGAATAAATGTTACAAACGACTTAGCGACAGAATAAATATGCAGCCCTTCGAGTAATTTTATGTCTGTGTTATTCTCAATTAAGCTGGTTTGGTCTGAATTTAAATCTTTAAGAATTACAACAAACACACAAAAGAGATGATTTCACTGAACAGTTTTTGATTAGAATAGGATGCTAACATTTTGTAAAAGCTTGCATTCAAACATCAATGTTTCTTTTTTGCTGGTTTCAGACGTTCTTTCTTTATCTTTCTTGTCAAACACTATCTGCAGAGCTGCCAGGTATCAAGGCTAGTTAATGGGTTACATGTAAACACAGACAAGGATGTTTTTCTCTCGATAAGCTGTCTGATAAAAAAAAAAAAAAAAAGTTTAGTTATTGAATGTGGCCTTGCTCTTATGGAGCCCCTGTATTTTCAGTTTCTGGTGGCCTGAAGGCCTGACACATAAAGACAAGCCTCTGTGTGCCTTAGCACAATGAGTCCTTTCAGATGAAGCTGTTGCAGCGAATGTGTGGCCAGAATACTCAGTTTAGACAGTGATTGTTTGATGGAAGCCTAAACCTAAAGATGAACCAACAAACAAAAGGATAAGCTTTGATTCATGGGACACTTTAATAAAACAATATATTCTTGTTCATATCTTATTCTGTTATCATGTGCTAGCTCAGGGATTTTCCCACTAATAAAAAATAAAATAGAGCACTTTTTTCCCAGCGGCTACTTGAATGTTCCCCAGTGTTTCTTTCTCATTTGGCTTCTTCTCCTAACACTTACGTCTCTTTTCAGTGATGTGGAGCAAGCTAGCCGTGTGCCCGGACAACGTGGCCTCCTCCTCTCCTGACGGATGCTGGAACAGCTCCTTGCACAGATCGCCGGAGCTGGACGGCTTCAGCAGCTTCTGGATTTCTTTATTGGGCTCTTTAATCACATAAACCCAGAAATGGATTGAAAAAAAAAAAAAAGAAACAGAATTAAAGGGAAAGCTATTGATCCCAGGATTAGACTTTTCATAAAGGATTAGATGCTACAACATATTGCTCTGTAAGCTCTAGCTTCAATTAAGCACAAAGCATCACAATCGTTCGAGCATGCAGACACACTGAGGTAATGATGGGAAATGAAATTCAGGGATTTTCAGCACTTAAAAACAACTTTTTAATCATCTGCCTGAATCCACTGTTAGATATTTTCACACCAGCCTCTCATCAACCCTCTGGTTTCTACAACACCATCAGCTCAGACATTACTGCAGACTGAGGGTCTTTGTAACAAATTTCTGCTCTGGTCTAAAGTCCAATAAAGATTAAGCAAATTTCTCTGCAGATTTGGGGAAAATGAGAAGCAGGACACAGAAACAACAGCTACATTATGAAGGTTCAGTAAAGAGGAACAGAAATCAGAAGAAATATCTCAAAAAGTCCCCGTCCTAAAGACTCAAGCAAACGTTTTTGATTTTACTTGTCCTGCTGAACTACAATTTAAAAAATAATTTGAAAACCTTTCTTTTCTCTGATTCACACTTTAATTCTTGCAAACATTGTAACACGTTTTGTATTTGATTTCTCTGACTTGAGGGTCTGCAGGTCATGGAGTGACTGAACGGTGTCACATGCTAGCTAACTCCTAAATCATGCCACAAATTAGGAAGATATTACGAGTAGAAATAAAACAATAATGATAATGAGACAATTAAAGGACTCAGACAACTGACAAAGGGAAGAACCTTGAACTGGTCAGTCTTTAAGTTTCAACTACTGAGCCTCTCAAAAGAACTACATCCTGACAGCATGTCGTTTCAGGTTAAACTATTGCCTCGATGATGGACTCTGCATGATGAGATCAGGGACTTTAAAGCCTTCTAGGCATTGTGGGAAATTCCAGCAGCTGACATGCTCCTGGAAAGGTAGATGGATGGGACAGATGGTTGGTGTTTCAATAAGACTTGAGACTTTAGTAGCTGTTTAGATTGATATGCAGCATTACTTCTATCATAATAAGCCTATATCAAAGCGGTTACAAAATTTAAGTGTCAATATGTGCATGCAAATCTTTTTAACAGAAACAGATTGTTTTTATGTGTTGAGAATGATGAATTTAATGAACTTCTTTTGTTTCTTTTCTTTCTATTAAATGAATGAATAAATGAATAAACTGAATAAATGAATGATGCAGAAATCGATTGCTCTGGTCTACAATGAGAAGTGATGAAACATTTAAGCCCTGATGTGACTCGTTTCTTTTAAAATTACAATGTATCAATCAACAAATAATAAGGAGAGACTCAAAGGCTTCTTTGTGAATATCATAGAAATCACGAGCCTTTTTAGACACCACATCTTAATCTGCAACACTTAGTGGAGGTTTTGGATCGACGTGTCAATCATTAGTCTTATGTCCGTCTAATGATTAGATGGACCCCATCTCTGTCAAGACATTAAATGAGTCAGTGTGTGTTGGATGGAGATGAGAAAACCACTGAATCACACTGAAAAGGTTTTGTTGGCATACGTAAACACATTCAATTATTAAAAGACAAGCTATCATTGAAGGAAAGCATGTCGTACACTACCTGTCATGGAATTTAAACTAAAAGCATCTTGTACTGAGAAATCTTGGAGTTATAGACATTTTGGTCAAACTTTGTAAAAATAACTTAATTCACACTAGCAGAATTATCACTATAGTTACTATTCAGACACATCCATCCATTATCTTTTACCCGCTTCATCCATTTTGGGTCACGGGGGTCGCCGGTGCCCATGTCCAGCAATCACTGTGTGAGGGGCGGGGTACACCCTGGACAGGTCTCCAGTCCATCACAGGACCACATGGAGACAAACGAGACAACCATTCATTCTCTCGCTCACATCTAGGGACAATTTAGAGTTACCAGTCAGACTAACATAAAGACCCTTTCCAAAAAATTAGAATGTCATGGAAAAGTTGTTTAACTTCCATAAATTCATTCAAAAAGTTCACCTTTAATATGACAGATTCAGGGCCCACAATTTAATAGATGTCAAGTATTTATTTGCCTATTTTTACATAATTTGGGCTTCCAGCTCATGAAACCCACAAAAACAGGATTTAAAGAGTTATTACACATTTGTTACAGTGAGTTGTTCTAAAGGGATATTGTGAGATCTTGAGACGTAATAACACACATACTACTACACACTAATATTAACAAAATATTTATTTGACTAACAGAGTTAAAGCTATTTTTGTGTTGATTAATGTTTAGCTGGAGCAGCCATCTTTAAATGTGTTGAATAAAAATGATGGTATTGTCCGATGATTGCGGTCACTAAAATCCACCCAGCAGTTCATGAAAATATGCAAATAAATACAGAAAATGACACTGATTGTTAGCAAGAAAAGATTTAGCAAACAATCTTACACAATGTGTAGTACTTTGACTATATAATTCAATTCAATTTATTTATATAGCTCTTAGTCACAACAGAAGTCGTCTCAGGGCATTGAACAGAAACATTAATATATAAAAGTAATAATTTAACAGTATTTATCTGAGGAGCAGACTGCTTTGAGTTTAACTCCATCGCAGAACTCTCATCTTGAGCAAGCACAAAGGTAACAGTGGAAAGGAAAAACTCCCTCATGAGGAAGAAACCTTTAGCAGAACCAGGCTCAAGACAAGTGGTCATCTGCTTCAACCAGCTGGGTTTGAGAGGAACAGATACACAATGGCAGGTCAAGAATCACATGTTAAGATACAAATAATATCAAATGAAAACTATTAAATTTTAACAAATCATTTAAGTAAATGAGGTCAATTTGTTCTCCAGTAGTCTAAGCCTATAGCAGCATAACAAGCCAACCCTAACTATAGGATTTATCAAAAAGGAAAGTCTTAAAACTGGACAATGTGTCAGCCTCATGGACGGAAACTAGAAGTTGGTTCCACAAGTTAAGAGCCTGATAATGAGGATCAGCTATTACCACAAAAATGTTGGTCAGCGTCTGTAAAACTGGCTCAGTTGTAGCCATTTTTGTGTTTTCTAATGGCTTCTGTGGCAGCCATCTTGGATTGGAATGATTACAAAGTGAATCAGTTGTGGATGAACATCCAATGATTGATTTCTGAGATTTTGTTTTAAATGTATCCACGAGAGACAATGCCACGAACAAACAAGCAAACATACCCAATGTAAAATTCAGCTACACTGGTATATTTGTGTTTCATTACTAAAGAGAGCTGAAAAATAAAACATTTCACACATCTATTCAAAACTACTTGACACAGGCTGTGAACAACATCTGAAAATAGAAAGAGCCTAAAATAGCCTGTCTTCACATTTGCACTTTGAATTGACTAAGGCTTGATGATGAACTGTTTGATGCTGCTGAAACAAAGTCTGAGGAGACTGTAGAAGAACACCAGTAAAGCTGCATTAAAACTGTAAAATATGTCAAGATGGAGGAAATCAACAGAGAACAATATGTATGGAGCAATACTTTTCAAACAAATCACAGCTTCAGTAATTCATCCAAAATGATCCGGTATGAAGGAGTGATGCGATGTAGTGTGGGAGTAGAGCAGCTTTCTGGTGGGCCACACCAGATGGCTGCTGCCATTTTTAATTGCAGTATGTTCTGATTGGTGCATTTCTGTAACACGGGTGATGCGTGTGTCAAAACCAAAGCAGAACTTTTTCTGATTTCTTCCCAAAGATGAGCACAGAGGTCAGGTGATAGCGATTGATTTCATTCTCTGCTGAGGAGCCGAACAAGCTGGAAAAAAACAGCAGCTATAATAAACGTTTACTGAATATTTAGACAGCAGGGTGGGTTTTCATTTCTATTACTGTCTTCATAAAATATTTGATATATCCATCCACCATTACTACTCACTGCCAAAGGGCGAATGTTGGCATTGAGGGATAGTGATACAGTTTTTGCACAAAAGTTGTGCTAAAATTTGATGTAGTAGTAACTGAAAGTCATCCCCAACACACATTCTGATCGCGGCATCTTGTGATATAAAAGATTGCTTATAATGTTATTTTTAGGTTCGACCAAAATGGCCACAAGGCTGTCATTTCTCTTGAACTCTGGCATGAATGGAAGTGAGCAATTCAAAGAATGCTCGGTCTTTAATTGTGTTTCCATTTTGATTTCATGGACAAAAAAATATATATTTTCTCATGTATTGGATCAGCTCTGACGGGACAGTTTGTTCATGTTCTCTCTGTTTTTATGGCAAATGAGCTGCAGTGAAAAACAGAATACAGTAGCTGTTTGCCTTTTGTTTGCTCCTTTCTGCAGGGGTCACCACAGTGAGAAACTTGGATGAACGATAAGGCAAATGTTAAAATACTAACCCAAGACCTCTGGAGGGAAATGTGTGAAAAGACAAGGTCAGAACAGAGGGGCTGAAAATGATCAACTCTGTAATTATTGCCATGAGGTTAATTGAGTTTAGCCACAGATAAGCAAATCAATTGCTGTTTAACATTATGGCAGAGGGAGAGGAAATGAACGCACCTGTTCACATAAATGTTTTATTTTAGGCAACATTATACCATCTATTGCTTTGATCATTTATTCACACCAAACGTTCGTCTTGAAGCTGCTAAAAACTCGTGTGAACATAATTAGATCTAAAGATCTGATCCTAATTATGTATGTTTTAAAATACATTTATTAAAAATAGTTTTTGTGAAAAAAACAACAAAAAACAACTAACCAAGTGATCATGTAACTGTTTGTGTCTCTGTGTGTATTTATTTGTCTGTCTGTTTGTCTATATATATATATATATATATATA